GGCACCGACACTATTTCGAAGCTCTTGACCGAAGTATGAGAGTCGTGCTTCGTTACTCAGCGATTGTGATGCTACCTTGCCTTTTGGTGGGAAGACGATTGTATTTGGTGGTGAATTTAGGTAGATTCTTCCTGTGATACCAAAAGGCACGAGACAAGATATTGTGCACGCTGCACTGAATAGTTCATTCCTATGGTCACAATGTATTGTAGCGAGGCTTACTAAAAACATGAGGCTTGCAAGGATGCTCGCCAGCCGGATGGACCAAAGCTTTTGCTGAAAATCAAGATGGAGAATCACTCATTGATATATCAGACAATATGATCGCTCCAATGACGTTTGATCCTGTTGAATCTATAGTTCAAGCTATTTATCATGATTTCTTAACCTAGAGTGATCCGATTAAGTATCTTTATTTCAGGGCTATTCTTGCCCCGACCATAGATGTAGCTGATAAGGTCAACGATTACATGTTGAGCCAGATAGATTCAGAGTCAAAGACATACCTAAACTCAGATTCAGCTTCTTCATCTGACTTAGATAGTAATGATCATTTGCATGAGCTGAGATACATTCTCCTAAATTTCTTAATAGTATCAAATGTTCTGGCCAGAAGTCGTGTGTCATTTCACAATCCAGTTGAATGATCTATAATCCTCATAAGCATCACAGGAACTCCAACTTTCAGCTTCAGCTCATGACTCGGCAAGCCAGAACATTTGATACTATTAAGAAATTCAGGAGAATGTATCTCAGCTCATGCAAATGATCATTACTATCTAAGTCAGATGAAGAAGCTGAATTTGAGTTTAAGTATGTCTTTGACTCTGAATCTAAGGGTTGACATCTTCCTCTGTTGGCCTGTTTTTACGCATTGCATGGACAGTTGTACGTGGCGGTCTCCAGAGTATCAAGTCCGTCTGGGTTAAAATTTGTTATATGTGACGAAGAAGGGAAACCAACGAAGTCAGCGTTGAATGTAGTATACAAAGAAGCTTATACTAATTTATAGTTCCCTTGCTTTACATACATGTATACAACAAAGTCATCTTGATTTGTACTTAACTTTGAGCATTATTTTTTAATTTCGTATTAAATATAAATACTTATTTTATTTTATGCTTTAATTTGATTATTTTATTTTAGTTTTTAATTTTATGTTTTGAGTTAGGTTAATTGACTATAAAACTCTTTGAGTTTATGTATGATTTATCCAAACATCTTCACTCCCGTGCGTAGCACGGGTGGAATTACTAGTTAAAAACAAGAGTGGAGCTAGATGTATACCAAAGTTGTACTCAAAAGTTGTACACTTGTCTGTCCAGCACAAATAAATTGTCTGTCTGGAGATGAGTTGTCTGTCACCTCTGGACAGACAATTTATTTGCGCTAAATAGGCAAGTGTATAAATTTTCTGTACACCAATCATTTTTCTAAAAACAAAATGTCGGGAAAATGTATGTCTCCAGCTACAATGCTACACACAAGCTAGGCCTCTCTTCTCAACCAAAAAGAAGTCTCGTAGCAGCCCACTTTGACTTCAAGCTCAGCCCAACCTCTGTATCTTCCGCCTCAGTTTTGCTAACCTTCATTTGGCTCGACAATTCTTGCCGCTCTTCCTTGAGCTGTCGACTACTGCTTTCAATAACCTCGAGCTTAGCTGCGATCACCTTTTCCTTCTTGTTTAGCTCCTCCATTTTAGACTGTATCCCCTCCCCCATTTTTACCAAGTCTTCTAGCAAACTCTTGGTGTTCTCAGAACTACACCAGGGATGCTCGCTTCTGCGTTTAACTTTTACTGAATCTCTCCATTCCTGCATTATCTGTGCAAAAGTAGCTTTCAAGCTCATAATTTCTCTCCCGTGCATCTCTAAAGAAATACTCCCTCCATCCCAAAAACAACTTCCCACTTTCCTTAAATGGATGTCCCAAAATTAACTTCACACTTCAATACTTTCCTTATTTGGCAAATTATCTACATAAAAAAAGTTATAAACAGTGCCAAACAGTGTTTAAACAGTGTCAAACAGTGTTTAAACAGTGCCAAACAGTGTTTAAACAGTGCAAAACAGTGCACTCTACAGTAAAGTCAAATTTATTTTCTAAAAGTGTGTGAAAGTCCAACCGGGAGGTTGTTTTCGGGACGGAGGGAGTAAATTTTACAAGCCGTATTTTGACACTCAAGTCCAACTCATGCAATTATCCATCATTACAAAATATGGACAGTGGTCGATCCAGAAATAAAAGGTATTGGGGCAGAATAATACACAAATTAGAGTACATTAACAAAAAATACTGTTGGTAGAAAATAACCCGGGTAGAGAAACTAGCATCATTTCAGTATAGCAGAAAAAGCGTAGAGAATACATGGGGGTGATGGCCTATTTATAGGCATCCATCACAAGTCCAAAGTCTAATCTACGTGGGCTTGGCCCAAATACATAATACTACATGTCCAAGCTAATAGGTGAACCGGCCCGATAAATAAGTAAATGAGCAAGGGGCAATTCCCACTCGTGAGACTGCGTCTTGGGCCTAATTGGGCCAAAGCTTGGGGATAACGGGCCGATGGCACTGTGCCTGACATATTATCCCATCACGAGTCCCCCACTCCCTTAGTCGAGTAGTAGACTCGGCTAAAAGGGAGTAGTTGAGCTGCTTTGAAATCGGCCCGGTTGCCAAACTAGCTAGCTAGTTACACAGATGATAGTTGATGATGACGATCTGCGGTGTGCCTGGAAAGGTTAGTCATGTAATCGTCCGATGTTATCCCACAGTGTCGCGCAAGGATGAGACCCTCCTTGTCTGGGTAGCATCCCGGGGTCCTGGTTATCTGGCCAGCTGCGCGGGGTCTTTTTTGCTCCAACCAGGAAGAACTCTTCCTTTGTTCATGATGAGAGGATGCCTCGTTAAAACCTTACTAGGAAAAACCCGGTGGGAAAAATCCCACTGAAGGAAAAAGAATACACCGGTACCTCAAAATAAAACAGAGGAATGTCAGTCTCGTCGGTTCTTGATTGAGCGTCTGCTTTATTGATATGCCGAGATATGTTCCGGGAAGGCCAGTCGCTCGTCTCTTTTCCAGTGGTGGCGGTCGAGCTAATGCATGCTCGGGAGAGACCACCCGCATAACTGTTTGCCGATGATGTCGAGCCAAGGTTACCCATGAGAGGCTGGTTGCAAAGCTGCCCGTTGATGATGCCGAGCCGAGGTATGCTCGGGAGAGGGTAGTTTTATAACTATGCACATTGATCTCCGCTGCTTGTGAGAGGATATGGTTTCCTTCGCCTGGGTAGCAGTTTTAGGTCTTGTTTATCCGATTAACCTCCCATGGTCTTGTTCTTCCGATCAGCAGCCTGGGGTCTTGTTTGTCTGATTACCAACCCAGGGTCTTGTTCAGGTGGAGAGATCTCTTCTTTGAATGCACCCAAAATAAAGCTAAAGGGTAAGCTCTTAGGCCATTGTGTGCAGCTGCAACGGTCGCCATCCATCGAGGGGATAGCAAAGAACGGTCTTCACTCGTGAGCAGTGCTCGTTTGATGTTCTCGAGTAGATGCAATGAGTAATCCGCCATGATAAGTAGTCCATGTTGATTGCTACTATTACCTGTTAGAGACATGGCAGGTAAAAGATGTGCTCTCGCTGCTTTAGCTGCAGTGCAACATACTAAGTTTTGGCCTTCAAAGTCAGATGAAGGTCTATCTCAGGCAAGGAAGAAGCTCGGGGCTTCTCCGCCTGGTGCTGGGGAAAAGAGAGAAGCTTCCCTGCTTTGCGAAGAGCGACTTTCCAAGAAGAGAAAATGTATAAACTGCTCCTTAGGCTGGGTAAGGGGAGATAACCCAACCAGCAGGATCCTCACTTACTTTGTTCGTTTCCTCACAGGAATAGCTGGTTAGAGAAGCGCATTTGTTGCCCTGCCCTGACCTTCATTTCCTCATAGGTATGGTAGGTCGGAGAAGTGCACTTGCTGCCCTGGCCTGACCTTCGTTTCCTCGTAGGTATGGATGGTCGGAGAAGCGCATTTGTTGCCTTGGATGCAACGAAAGATACTAAGTCTCGACCTTTGACATCCGATGCAAGTCCATCTAATGTCGGGGAGAAGCACACAACTTCTCCACATGATGTTGGGGAGAAGCACGCAACTTCCGTGCATAATGTCGGAGAGATGCTTAGAGCTTCAACGCCTGATACCGGGGAGAGGCACGCACCTTACCTGCCTGATGCTGGGGAGAGGCACGCACCTTCCCTGCCTGATGCCGAGGGATGCTAAGAGTTTCTCCGCCTGATGTCCAGGAGATGCCCAGCTTCTCCGATTGATGCTGGGTAGAAGCATGCACCTTCCCTGCCTAATGTCGGGTAGATGCTAATAACTTCTTTGCCTGATGCTGGGGAGAAGCACTCACCTTCCCCCAGTCAAAGCATGAAAGATATCTACAAAAGTATGCCATTTGTTGAAAGAGGGGTTGAGACCAGGCTTGCGATGAAGAAATAATCATCATCTTTGTGGACGGCGGGCTGGCCGAATTATAGAATCAAAATGATGACGTTTAGTCCGGTCGTGATGAATCCATAGCAGCGGTCATCATCCAAGTGAAGGGGAATGCGACCGGTCTTGAAATGAGAATGGTGGCACTGAGCCGATCCTGACGAGGATGGCAACTCGTTGGCCGACTATGACTGATTTTGAGAGATCATATCATCAATATACATTTCCATGTTTGCTATCATCAACCCGCAGATGGAATATAGGGTAGCTGAGCAATGCAACATGTTTTTAATAGGATTGAAATTTGAGAGAATTCTCTAAATAGGAGTAAAAATGTTTTTACCAATTTACCGCCACATGTGTGCCACGTCAGCGGCCAGCGGGTAACCTGCTAACATGGCAAGCAACCTTGAAATGTACTCAATTAAACGTTTTTACAAAGTTCGAGGATTCGATTGATTTTTTTTTAAAGTGCGAGAACCTAATTGACTTTTTCATGAAAGTAATACTTCGATGCCATTTCCATATTACAAATACTACTACATTCTTATATAAATATATTACCGGTCAAAGTTTAGTAGAGTGAAAAGTCAAATATGCCTAACTAAAGAGGAGACGGTAGTAAAATATTGGGAATTTCAGAATTTGTATGTCATTATGTTACTCAAGAAAATAGATGTCTTGTTACAGCCCATTTTGACTTTAAACTGTGCTCCAACTTTTTGTTAGCCCGGTCCACCTTTGCATCTTTTGCTTCAATTTTGGCAGCCTGCTCCATAGCAAGTGAACAAAGAATCTCCATCTGTTTGGATACTTGTATCCTTTCCTCCTTTACCTGTAAGCAATTGCTTTTAATAACTTCCAGCTGAGCTTCCAATTCCTTTTCTTTGTTATTAAGCTCCTCCAGTTCAGCCTTTATTCCCTCCCCTGTTTTCACCAAGTCTTCGAGCATACTTCTGGTCTTCTCTAACGCCCACCAGCTGGGATTCTCGTTTCTGCTATTAATTTCTACTGAGCTTCTCCATTCTTGCATCAGCAGAGGGAAAGTAACTTTCAAGTTCATATATTCTTTGTCCTGTCCATCGCTGAACAAATGAAGGTTGTGGTCGATAACTGCAGACAAAGACTCCAATATTGCAGTTTCATTCCTCCGATCAGCCAAAATATCCAAAGGGGTTGATATGAGTATGTCAAGGATTATTGTTGCAGAAGTGCCATGTCCTTTAAACAAAGACAATTCAAGCGTTGGAGAATCAGATGCCCAACAGCTACTGGATGGTTTCTTGGTTAGAGACTCAAGAAACAACTGAGCCTCCACATATGCAGATTCAACATGATGGCCGACACCTAAAGCCGGAATCGCCTGATCACATTTATAGAAGGAAAAAAGCATTTAGAAATAGGAAACCACACTGAGATCATATCATGAATATACATTTCCGTTTCAAGCAAGCATATTTGAAAGTATGAACTTACATTATCATGGGAAGTTGCAAAAGCATTGGTGACAACAGAAAGTTCAACTTCAAACAAGCACATGTCATCAACCAGATAACCTTCACTTTTATGAAGAAACCTTTTGAGAGGGATAAATGAAGAACAGCCAAAATTATTACCTTGAGAGAATTTGTATCCCTGCTCGCGCTCTGCGTAATGGGCAAAAGTAAGATTGAGGAAGTAAGATTCTGACAGTAGCTATTTGGTTGATATCATCTTTGCACGCCTACTCCATACTCTATATATGAAAAAGTCAAGAGACCTTATAATGCTTTGACATTTGAAAATCTTAAGAAAATGTATTGGAAGGCGACATGCCAAAAATCCTCACACCAACATCTTGTGAATAAGAAACATCACCAATAAAGTGAGTGGCTATAATGAAAAACTAAAAATTAGGGTGCAGAAGTGCAGAACAATAGGATGATAATGATTTAAGTGAAGCAAACACATAAAAACGATATTGATAATTTCAGGTCATGCTGAAATACCTTTCTTGATGGTTTTGTTGTTGTCAATCTGGTTAATAAGAGCTAGACTGTACTTTGTTTCTATACTAGAGTTCGTGGGTAACCTGCAGGAGTCCACCATCAAGAGGTACAGATTCAACTGCTTTTTTGAGTTTCCTTTTGGATTTAGGCATAACTTCCTGCAGAGACCCAAAAAGTAAATCACATACTTACACATAATTTGCTGCAAAACAGAACAATATTTTTCACTTATATCTGACTGGGGACGTACCATCGGTAGTCATTTACCATGAACATCACAGAGGAAAGCGTACTACCATCCAATCGTGAGAAGTTTTCAACCCTCCATGTAAATTTTGACATCAGATAATGCTGTGGTTTTGTTTAGTCACTGAAACTTTGACTCCTTCCTTCACTCACCAAAACCAACCACAAAAGTAATCAACTAAGAGAAATTAACAATTTCACACTTAAAACTAATAAGAGCCTCAAAAAGGAATGAAATTCAGTTCTTCTGGGTTTGTGATGTTTTACTTGGACCTGTTCTAGTGTCATTCTGAACTTAAATAGCAGTATATCATAATAAACTTAGACCATAGTAAAATAGATATTTAATATATATTCCAGACCTCTACAAGAAAAAACTAGATCCCCCACAGCGAACACTTAAGCAGACGGATCAAAATAGAGCTGAGAAATTTCCAAAGTGAAAACGTCCTTACTTCTAAACTCCAACCATGCATTTCTGGAGAGGTTAAACAGATTATAAGTTTTTATAAATTAAATGTATTTATAAGTACACTATGGTAATCCCTTCTTGTTTATGCTCCATTAACACACTCATTTACTACATTTATTAATCCAAGATGGCTAGATTCAAATAAGTTTACCACTTTTTACTTGAGGTCACATTGGTGAATTGGTGATCATTTAAGAATGAAATGACATTGACTTACTGCTGCAAACGTTGTCTTGAGGAGGAAGGGAAAGAGAAGTGCTGAAGAACCCAGAGAGAGCGCAGAAAAAGCGGGCAAGCGCCCTAGTCTGTAGTCGGATAGCAGGGAAGAAAGTTCTCCCTTCTCATAATGCATTGAAGGTTTATTAGCGCAAGGTCTGAATTGAAGGTTTGAGCCATTGTAGAACCCAAGAAGCTATGCCGTCTGCCGTCGCTTCGCATCCCGAGTCTTGAGTTTGTTCAGTCGTTGGCTTTACTGAACAGACGTTAAAGGAGCCACTGAACTCTGAACTCTGAAAGACTTGCTTTTGCTTAAAAAAAAGCTTCAAACAGGTTCTTTTATGAGAATTTTTCACAAGTACTTTTAAAAAGTAAAAATAATACTCTTCATCCCATTTTGGTTGTCCTACTTCCCTCTTTGGGTTGTCCCAAAATGAATATCTTGTTTCTCTTTTTGGCAAGAAATATGTGGTCCTTATCATTTCACTTTATTCTACTCAAATTTCAACCACAACTTTTACTTTTCAATCACTTTATTAATAATCGTGCCAAATTGAAAGTGGACAACCAATATGGGAAGAAAGTAGTATCACTTTTATCACTATTAAAACTCTTTTTGAAAAATAGACTAAGCAAAGTTCTGTTTTAAATAGTGCATTCTAAGGAGGTGTTTATTTTGTTGCTAAAATTACAGTTAGGTTAGTAAGATAGTTAAAGTAAACACGCACGAGACTTTAAAAAGTTGTTTACTAACGGAAAAAGTTGCTTAAAGTACTACTCCGTACTTACTAAGCATGTCACCCTCATGTATTAATTAAGCGGCACTTTAAGCTTTTTCAGTTTCTGAATTTAACATTACCCTATTCCCTCTATCTGCTACCCTCTACCAGCCCCTACTACCCCGACCCCACCACATCCTACCGATTACCTCCATCCTCGTACCTTACCCCTTCCCCTTACCTCTCGACCCCCTAACATTACCCCCGCCCACCCCGCATACGCATTTTCCCTACAACAACCCTACCCCACCCCCTACCACAACCCCCGACCTTACTGTGCGTCGGAGTTTTAATTTGGTATTTAAGTTATTTGTGAAATAAAAAAGTCTTTAAATGAAAAGTAAATAATTAAGAGACATAAATGAAATCCATATAGTTAAAGTGGACTTAACGGGAATACGGGATATTTCCACTTCTTCTATGACTACGAAAATGTTAATGCCCACCACCTCAAATATCACCCAATTAAACATGTGTACTTGTAAAAAATGTTCAAATCTGATTTTTATCAAATAATCAACTGATCATCAACTAAAGGCGACACATGGTGACACGTGGCGACACATGGCACTAATTTTTTTTTAACTTTTTTAAGGTAAAAACTAAAAAGCACGTAATTCAAGAGTATGTTTGCAAAACATTAAAAAAAAGTTATTTGTGCTTTTGGCGTAAAAACTTAAAAAAATGTTTTTGAGCTGACAACTTCTACTTAAATCAAATACTTAAAACATAAAAGTTAGAGTCTGTTTTGTTACTATTGCTATTACCCAAAAAACACGTATTTTACCTAACATTGCCAACTTTTACTTTTTAAAATCAATTTTTTTAAAACACTAACAACTTTTACTATTAACCACTTTTTCTAAAATCATTTTTTAGGGAAAAGTGTCAAATAAGCTCTCCTACTAAGAAAATGTCAATTAAGGACATCAACCTAAATATCACCCAAACGTTCCGATTCCAAGTAAAAAACAAATGATGTGGCATTCATTTTTTGTATTTTTTCCTTTTCCTTTTTCTTTTTTCCTTTTCTTTCTTTTCCTCTCTCTTCTCCATCCCTTTTCTTCTTTAGCCCGACTCCCCCGGCCCCTTTTCTTTCTTTCTTTCTTTATTTTACAATCACCGGTCTGACCGGTCATTGACTCCGAAGCCGGTCTTCTTCCCCGGTCAGCTTTCGGGAGTTCCGACAAAGCCATAGAAGTTGGTTCGAGCGTCGATCGTCTTCCGTGGTGACGTTCCGGCAAAGACAGCGTCAGTCATCTTCACCAAATGTTGTCCTCCTCCCTTGCCATAGTTTCGTCTCATGAAGTGTTTATCTTCGCCATCAATTTGTTATTTTTATTTATTGTTCTTGTCCATGGATTGGATGGGTATGTCAAACCCCAATAATCAAAGAAAAGTGAGAAACAGGGAACCGTGAAGGAGCAACAGTGCAAAGAAAGAGTCAACCGGAAAAGAGAGGAAGGAAGAACCGAAGGAGAGAAGAAAGAAAAAGAAAAAGGAAAGGCAAAACAAAATTAGTGTCGCCATGTGTCGCCTTTAGTTGATGACCGGTTGATTATTTGATAAAAATCAGATTTGAACATTTTTTACAAATTCACGCGCTTAATTGAGTTATGTTTGAGTTGGTTGGCTTAATTTGAAGCTTTTCCCATTTTTTTTAACTATTACTCTGTTTCATCGTTAAACTGATAACAATTAAAATATAATTTCAAATTAATAAATATATAACCATAAACAAGTATACAAAATTTAACAAGCTAAAAATGAAAAGAACAATTATTAAGAGACGCAAAACACCACATTCGCGCAGCAAAATTACTCGAATGATACATCTATATAAATTGAACTGGACCCTCAAAGTTATTAGTGAAAACTACACGTATTCATACGGCTACATAAAATTTACTATTCCAAGATTTAATTGATAACCGTGAAAATTTGATAACAAAAAACTATCATTCCAAGATTTAAGTGAACACCAACAATAGACAAAATGTCAAATTTGCTCGAACAACCAATATTTTCTTCTTCATTCCCTATGGTGTCTAGTGTTCACCACTTCTTTGTTGCTCAATCAAACTAATCTAGTTTTAAAAGTAGTAAAACTTAGTCCCATATTGCTTCTTAGGGAAAACTGATTTCATGTTTTCAACAAAAGCGCTCTAACAAAAGGATATCAAAACAAATTCCTTGACTTATGTCACTATGTCACTCAAGAAAATAGATCTCTTGTTGCAGCCCATTTTGACTTCAAACTGTGCTCCAGCTTTTTGTTAGCCTGGTTCACCTTGGCATCTTTGGCTACAATTTCAGCGGCCTGCTCCATAGCAAGTGAGCAATGAAACTCCATCTGTCTGGATACTTCTATTCTTTCCTCCTTTACATGTAAACTATTGCTTTTAATAACCTTCAGCTGAGCTTCCATTTCCTTTTTTTTGTTATTAAGCTCCTCCACTTCAGCCCTTATTCCCTCCCCTGTTTTCACGAAGTCTTCCAGCAAACTTCTTGTCTTCTCTAACGTAGACCAGCTGGGATGCTCGCTTCTGCGCTTAATTTCTACTGAGCTTCTACATTCTTGCATCAGCTGAGGGAAAGTAGTTTTCAAGTTCATAATTTCTTTGGCCTGTCCATCGCTGAACAAATGAAGGTTGTGGTTGATGACTGCAGACAAAGACTCCAAGATTGCAGTTTCATTCCTGGGATCAACCAAAATATCCAAAGGGGTTGATATCAGCATGTCAAAGATTATTGTTGCAGAAGTGTCATGTCCTTTAAGCAAGGACAATTCATGTGTTGGAGAATTAGATTCCCAGAAGCTGCTGGATGGTTTATTGGTAAGAGACTCGAGAAACAACCGAGCCTCGACATGTGCAGATTCAACATGATCTCCAACATTTAAAGCCTGATCACACTTATAAAAGGGAAAAGGCGAAAAGCATTTACAAATAGGAAACCAAATTGGGATAATATCATTAATATACGTTTCAGCTTCAATCAAACACACACTGATGATATGAACTTACATTATCGTGGGAAGCTGCAAAAGCATTGGTGATAACAGAAAGTTCAGCTTCAAACAAGCATGTATCATCAACCAGATAACCTTCGCTTTTATCATAAAACTTTTTGAGAGGGATAAATGAACAACAGCCAAAATTATTACGTCGACTGAATATGTGTCCCCAATAGCTCTCTGCAGAATGGGCAATAGTAAGATTGAGGAAGTAAAATTCCAGTAGCTATTTGGTTGACATCATCTATGCACACCTACTTCTTAATACTCCTATATCCAAAAAAGTCATGCGCCTTATAATTTTTTGACAATCTTAAGAAGTTGTATTGGAAGGTGACATGCCAAAAATCCTTACACACCAACTCAACACCTTGCGAATAAGAAACATCTCCAACAAAGTGAGTGGATACAATAAAGAACTAAAATCAGGATGCAGAGCCATAGGATGATATGATATAAGTTAAGCAAACAAATAAAAATGATATTGATACTTTCAGATCGCTGTGAGTCATGCTGGAATACCTTTCTTGATGGTTTTGTTGTTGTCAATCTGGTTAATAAGAGCTAGACTGTATATTGTTCCTATACCACAGTGCCTGGGTAAGCTGGAGGAGTCCACCATTAAGAGGTACAGATTCAACTTATTTTTTGAGTTTCCATTTGGACAAAGACGCAACTTCCTGCAGATACCAAAAAAAGTAAAACAGATCTTAACACAAAATTTGCTGCAAAAAAGAATAGCATTTTCACTGATATCTGACTGAGGGTGTACCATTTGTAGTCATTTACCACGAAAATCACAGAGTAATGTTTACGACCACCCAGCCGCGAGAAATTTTCAATCCTCCATGTAAATTTTGACATCTGATAATGCTTTAGTTTTGCTTAGCCACTGAAACTTTGACTCGTTCCTTCACTCACCATAACCAAACACAAAAGTAATCAACTAACAAAAATTAACAATTTCACACTTAAAACTAACTTTTCCGTCATTTGCAATGGGGCCAAAGATTCATTTTTTTGGTTTGAAACTATGATGGAATAAAGCAAAATGGCTCACTACAATGTCTGCGCTTCTTTGTCATGAAGCAGTCAGTCCATGCAATTTTGGACGCCATTTTCACTATGGGTCATCCGGAAACAGTCTCTCCCTGCTTAAGTATAGGGGTAAGACTGCGTACATCCGACCCCCTTACCCCACCTTAGGTGGGAGCCTTTGCGGCAGTGGGGTAAATGAAAATGAAAAATGAAAATGATGACACTTAAAACTAACAAGAACCTCAAAAAGGAAATTCAGCTCTTCTGGGTTTATGATTTTTACACTTGGACCTGTCCTAGTCTCATTCTGGACTTAAATAAATCATAATCTACTAAATTTCGATCATAGTATAATACGTACTAGATACTTCGTATTTAATATATTCCTTACTTTTACACCCCAGATAAAATTAGACCACACTTAAAGTAACACTTAAACAGGCAGATCAAATTAGACCTGAAAATTTTCCAAATGAAAACGTCATTACTTCTATACTAAAGGTAGGTTTTATCCTAAATTCCAACCACCCATTCCTGGAGAGGTTGCCTAGATGATAGGTTTTTATAAATTAAGAGTATTTATAAGTACAATATGGTAATCCCGGCTTGGTTATGCTCCATCCACACACTCAGTTACTACATTTATTAATCCAAGATGGCTAGATTCAAATAAAGTTACCACTTTTACTTGAGATCACAATGGTGAATTGGTGATCATTCAGGAATGAAATGACAATGACTTACTGCTGCAAATATGGAATAGGTGAATATTAGCAAACGTTATCTTGAGGAGGAAGGGAAAGTGTAGCGCTGAAGAACCCAGAGAGCGCGCAGAAAAGGCGGGCAAGCGCCCTAGTCTGTAGTCGGAGAGCAGGGAAGAAAGTCTGGGCAGAGGTGAAGAAGTTCTCATAATGCAACTGATTTATTTGACTATTTGAGCAAGGTCTTAATTGAAGGTCTGAACCATCGTAGAACCCAAGAAGCTACGCCGTCTGCCGTCGCTTCGCATCCCGAGTCCTGAGAGTTTTCAGTAGTTGCTCGAGTTTTTCCCTGGATACTTCTGAACTTATTTCTCAAATCACTGTACTTTTTTTGCCACCTGATCTCATTAAATGTTTAGAAACACTTAAACTCTAAAAATTTGATGACATGCAATTGATGGAATGACCTGAGCTCCTATATTGTACACCTGAATGTACATACATCCAAACTGGTTAACTCTTTGCTTAGTACCAAACCCGGATTTCTTCATTAAAAAAATAAAACACAAAGGAGATTCAATCCCTAGACCTGAAACTCAATGTACAACCTTCCAACCATCTCACCAACTTGCCTTCATGACAAAATTCGTTCTTTTATCTTACTTATACTACGTATTTCATACTCATACTACACTTGTTTATTAATAGTAATTATAATATTAACTATTCTTTGCTTTTGCTCATTATTACCATATTTAAAGACTAATCATATTTTTGAAGTACTTATTTGATCTATGAATTATACTATTAATTTATATAAATATATTTATAATTTTATTATATATTGGTAGGTTCTTAATAAGTCTGATGTTCATTGAAAGTGTTGTAATGCTCATAATAGATCTGATGCACATTAAAAATTCATTAATGCTAATTTAACAGAAATTGTGATTTTCATTCTAATAGATGAGGTTATATGCTCAATCATTTCAATAGATGAGGTTTGATGCTCAATGAAATATGTTGTTATGTTATACTAACAAACTTTGTGATTTTCATATCAACGAACATTTTGTAAGTTACGTATGCTCATCCGGTACTGATCTTATGCTCATTTTCTAAATGTCATATCAATGCATTTGCTTTAAAGTACTATTTTACATTAGGTTCATATATTGAAATTCATAGGAGTTGATTAGAAATATAATTTAATAAGTTTTTATAAAAGGAAAAATAACAAAAAGAAAGCGAATTAGAAGTTATGAAGCGGAGATCACGATTCTGAATATTAGACTTCTAATACTCAACATAATAGGTCTGATGCTCATTAAAAGTTCATTAATGCTCATTCACCAGAAACCGTGATTATCATCTCAATAGCGGAGATTTGATGCTCAATTAAAAAGTCTTGATATTTAACTAACAATTCTTGCGATTTTCATATCAATGTGCACTTTGTAAGTTATGTATGCTCATTTGGTAGCGATGTTATGCTCATTTTTAAAATGTCATATCAATGCATATTTCAAAAATATCATATGAGCAAATTAAACTTACCAAATGCGCATTGATATGAAAATTGCCAGGTTTGTTATTTGAGTATCGCGACACTTTCATTGAGCATCAAACCTTCTCTCTTGAGATGAAAATCACAGTTTCTGTTAAATGAGCATGTATTAACTTTTAATGAGCATCAAACCTATTTTGTTGAGTATTATGAGTCTAATGTTGAACATCATGATATCTGCTTCTTAACATTGTAAAAATGAGCATAACATGAGTACCACATGAGCATACATAACTTACAAAGTGCACATTAATATGAAAATGTAAGGTTTGTTAGTTGAACATCATGACATTTTAATTGAGCATCCAACCTCCACTATTGAGATGAAAATCATGAGAAAATCACGACTTCTGGAGAATAAATAATAATGAACATTTAATGAGCACCAGACCTATTTCTGTTGAGTATTAGGAGTCTAATATTCAGAATCATGATATCTGCTTCATAACTTCTAAATCACTTTTTTTTATCGTAAGGTTTGTTAGTTGAACATCACGACATTTTAATTGAGCAAGCATCAAACATCCGCGATTGAGATGAAAATCACGGTTTCTTGTGAATGAACATTGATGAACTTTTAGTGAGCATCAAACCTATTATGTTGAGCATTAGGAGTCTAATATAAAATACTCCGTAGTACTTCTAAAAAAATGTATTGATATGACATTTGTAAAATGAGCATAGAATCAAATGAGCATACATATCAAACCTTGTCTATTGAGATTGATGAAAATCATAATTTCTATTAAATGAGTATTAATGATTTTTTAATGAGCATCGGGCCTATAGAAATGAGCATATGTAAATTCTATCATTTAGAAAATGAGTATAAGACGAGTACCAGATGAGCATAGTAACTTACAAAATGCGCATTGATGTGAAGATCATAAGATTTTTTAGTGGAATATCACGCCATTTTAATTGAGCATCAAAACTCCTCTATTGAGATCAATGAGCATTAATGAATGTTTAATGAGTATCGGACCTATACAAATGAGCATTCGTAACTTACAAGATGATCATTGATATGAAAATGGTTTGTTTTGTTTGTTGAGCATCAAGATATTTTCAGTGAGCATCGAACCTCCGTTATTGGGTACTAGAATCATGCAATTGAGTATCGTGGTTTGTGGTCTCGTGTCTATAATCAAATTCTATGCGAATCTAATGTAATATGAGACTTTTGAAATATGCATGGATAAACATTTTAAAATGAGCATAACAAAAGTACTAAATAGACATACATAACTTACAAAATGAGTTTTCAAAAATTGAAATGTTCATTTGTATATATTTATTCTTAAAATAGACGTTATAATTATTTGAGTTTAAAATAAAGAAAAAAAGAAAAAAAGACAAAAAAGTAAACTAACTAAAGTAAATTAACTAAAGTAAAAGTAACAAAAAAGTAAAATAAAAGAAACAAAAAGAAAAAAGAAAGAAGAGAAAAAAAGTAACTAAAAAGTAAAATAAAAAAGACAAAACAAATACTCCGTATAAAACAAACTAGGATGACAACGGGATGGAGGCTAAAAAATGAAAAAAAAATGGCGGCTGAAATAAATAAAAGCAACAGGGAGTGAGGGAAATGGGGATGACAACAGAAGAAGAATAAAGAATAGAGCATGGATGAGAGAATCAGCCTACCACGTCATTTAAAAACCGGGTGTACATGTACACCCGGGTGTACAATATAATTTACCGAATGACCTGGCAATCTGCGGAGGGCAATCTGCGGTGTGTTTGGGAAATAAGTTTGAAAAATACTCCTACCCAGGAAAAAACTTAGGCAATATGGGTTTCTAAGCGTCATCAACCACTATGCTATAGTATTCTTGTTGAATTAATGTTGTTCAGAATATTTAAACCATGTATTCGAAAGCTCAGGAGTGCACTTCTTTGCTAAACAATTAAATAATACGTAGTATAAGGAGTAATAAATACGGAGTAACTTAATTTGAGTTATTCAAATTTATAGTAAAACATATATTTCAAAATAATTAATTAGAAAATAATAATTTCATTTACATTTATAATAAAAAACATAATTTGCAATATGAAATCAATTCTTTTAAATAACACAAAACGAAATAAAATAAAATATAAGTAAATTCAATATAGTACACCTCAATTTTTTTTCAAAAAGCATATTAATAATGTAAAATATCATATAAACTTTTCTTTAGGGAAAACTGTCAAATAGGTCCTCGAACTTTCGTAAAAAGGTCAATTAAGTCCTTCTATAGGAGGTTCTGTCCGCCCGTCGCGATTTGGGGTAGTTCCCGGTGGAATTTTTTGATGAAATTTTTTGAGCATCTTATTCACCAAGTCTAGTTTACTCATACCAAATTTCAGCTAAAAATTCAATCGGGAACACATTCAAATTAATTCTTGAAGATAACTGCGCATTTTTGCGTTCTCGAATTAATTTGAATGCGTTCCCGATTAAATTTTTAGCTGAAATTTGGTATGCGTAAACTAGACTTGATGAATAAGATGCTCAAAAAATTTAATCAAAAAATTACACCGGGAACCGCCCCAAATCGCGACGACCGGACATAGTCTCCTATAGAAGGACTTAATTGACTTTTTTATGAATGTTCGAGGACCTATTTGACAGTTTTCCCTTTTCTTTATGAAAATTCTTTATAGCAGCTCAACATGGCTTAGGCTCGGTTCAACTTGGCCTTGGTACCAAGAATTTTTCTTATATTAATTTATCAAGTTTTTTTTCTCTTAAATTGATTTTATATGTTTTTTTCACATGAATAATATCCTATTTTAATTTGGGATGGGCTAAAACCTTCCATGACATTTAGTGATTATAACTTAATACCTTGTGATATGTTTTAATTATTTTATTTAGGTATTTATTTTTTAATTATCTCAAACTCGGTACTTTATGATATTTTTAACGAGGCGTAATAAACGGAAAAATGTATAGACACTTTGATTTAAAATCATTGTTTTCAAATTTCACTAAAAGTTACTCCCTCCGTCCCCTTTTAAATGTCCCGTTTTACCATATTGGGATGTCCCTATTTAAATGTCACATACCTTATTTGGTAAAGTTTGTGTGGCTCAAAATCATTCGTACTTTATTCTTACTTTATCAATTAATATCAACCACACAAACCCACTTTTCTTAAAACTCGTGTCACCCTCTTCCGGGACATTTAAAAGGGGACGGAGGTAGTAACATGTAACAATTTGCTCAAATTTGAGGATTGTATTTGAATTCGAATCAATAACAATTTATTAGAAAAATTTAAATTGAGGCCGAATCGAGAAGAGTTGAGCTGCTATAAATTTAAAGGCGCTCTATTAAACCCCAAGCACCGCATATAAGTGATACTTTGTACATATTGCTCGGATAATTAAAATTTTAAGTTACTTGGAGGCGTTTACACTTTTTAAAGCGCCACACGCATTGTTTATGAAAAGATAAAAAAAATTGTTAATACTTAGAGGCGCTTGTGTCTGAAAACGCCTCTAATGAAGCGCCTCCCTTTGCAGTTTTTCCACTAATGTATACAAGATGGCTGAGATCATTTCGTTCCATGTTCCATCATCTGCGCTTTCTTTCTCTGTTCTTTTTGTTTGACCAGCTCTTCGTCTGCTCTTCCAGGACGATGAGTATTTTTTTGCGGTTTGGATTTTATTTTGTCTTCTACTGTGTGTTCCATCTTTCTTTGTCGTTAGGTTGACACCTGATCAGGGATGTGGTTGGGTGGCTTGGGGTTGTGTCTCGGGGTGTTGAAGTTGGGAAGCCTGTGTTGGTTTTTCTCGTTTGTCTGCTTGACTGCTGCTAGGATGCTCTTATGCGGTGTTCCAGTGTTTTACATGGCCCGATCCCTCTCTTGATATTTATGGGTTGTGGGGGTGTGTTCAAGGTGGTTAAACTTTTGTTTGTGTTGGTTGAATGAGGTGGTGGCCCTGTGGGTTTGATCCACTGACCTGATGGT